AATTCTGGGCATAACATTAGCAGTTAAGAAAAGCTAAATAGAAGCCATTATAGCTCTGTCTACCTAGGACCACATGCCTGTAGGGATTGCAGACATTAGTACCATCATCAAGGTCTTGAAGGATGCAGAGGTAGTGATTCTCACCACACCTCCATTTAACTTGTCTGTCTGACCTGTGCAAAAAACCAGACGGATGTTGGAGAATGACAGTGGACAAACTCAACCAGGTGGTGACTTCAACTGCAGCTTTGTTCTAGATGTGATTTCATTGTTCGAATTAACACATGTCCTGGCAACTGGTATGCAGCTATTGATCTAATCAATATCTTTTTCTGGAAGGATCATCAGAAGCTGTTTGCCTTTGGCTGACACCTAGAGCTGGCAGTCTGAATGTGAACTTCTAGCCTTCTAAACTGTGAGAGAAGAAATCCTGGTTCTTAAAGCCACCCACCTGTGGTATTTCTGTTATGGCAGCATTAGCTAACTAAGCAACCCCCAACAAGGTAGACTGACACAGTGGCAGCAAACAATGGTCTCAAACGGAACAAGTGTGAGGATGGTACAGGATCAGCCAGTGTTTTGTTCTGTTGCGCACAGGGTCACTATGAGTCAGAATCAACTCAATAGCACCTAATAACCATCACCTGAAGTTGGAAGAGACACAGGTCTCTTAGTATGGACAAACAGCATGGCATGCCATGGACTCCTAACCCCCAGAATTGTGAGACAATGCATTTTTATTGCTTATGGCAACCTACTATCTTGCATTTTCCTACAACAGCCATAGGAAACTAATACAGAGTTTGGTATCAGGAATCCGGTGCTGCTGTAAGAAATATCTAAAAATATGAAAGGGGCTCTGGCTTGGGTAATGGCTGCAAACTGGAAGATTTTGTAGGTACCTGAAAATCAAAGCCTAGAGTTATAGAATTAAAGCTTCAATTTGTAGAATTATGGCTGTAGAATTTATAAAATTATAGATATTAAAGTCGATTCTGGTAAAGGATCAGAAGTGAGAAGATTTGTGGAGACAGCTTCTGTGATCAGGAACAAAATGCTGCTGGAAATGTATATCTTTAATGTGACACTAAGGATAAAAGTGATAAACATGTTACTAGACACTAGAAGAAGGCGATGCTTATTATAAGGTGGCAAAACCATGTTTGAATTCTCTGTTGCAAGTAGAATTTGTATGTGATGAAGTTGAATATTCAGCTAAGGAGATTTCTAGCAGAATGTGCAAGGTGCAGCCTGGTTACTTTGTTGCTTACCCTAAGCAAAGAGAAGGGGAAAAAAATGAATTGTGCAAAAGGAACCACAACGTGAAGATTTGCAAATTCTAAGCTTATCCATATTTGCAAAATGTGAGCCAGTGCACTTTGGAGAGGACACCTAGAGTATGGTTGGACGATCATGTGCTAAAGATATTAGCTGTATGACTTATGGACCAAATCAATCATCTCAGCAGAAACACTGTCAGACTAGACTCACAGGAACACAGATGGCATGAAATGAAATAAGGTGGTTGGACTGCTGGGGTTTTACAGGCAGGAAATGGGATAATGGAGCTGCTTGGCTGTGTACATCTGTTGTCTTTCAAGAAAAGGAAAGGAAAATTCCAAGAGTGTTGGGCTGCTAACCAAAGATCAGAAGTTCAAACTCACCAGCTGCTCTGCTAGAGAAAGATTAGACTGTTCCTGTGAAGATTTACTCTCAGAAACCCTATGGAGCAGGTCTACTCTGCCCTATGGGATCACTATAAGTATTGGGTTTGGTTTTTGGTTTGGGTTCAGAGGTTGGCAGCTTGGGGCTAGGGGGTGGACATCCTTGGTGGGGGCAATGGGTAGAGTTGCCACCCAAGAAAGAGGCAGTGGGGCCAGGAGACTGGGATCTCCCTCAGCCCAGGATCGAGAGGGAAGAGTATCACCCAGGTGAGCCCAGAGGACATGGGATTATTTTCAAGCCTTGAAGTCTACCTGGTGGGTTTTGTTCTTGCTTTGGACCCACGATCCCTTCTTTCATCCCTTTTGGAATGGGATTATTTACCCTGTGTGTTTTGGAAGTAGATAATTTGTATTCTAGGTTTAACAGGTCCATAAATGGAAGAATTTTACCCCAGGATAGACCATACCTGGTCTCTTCCATATCTATTTTTTCAGATGAGATTGTTAGATAGAAAGTTGATGCTAGAATAGGTTAAGACTTTTGGGGATATGATATGGGTCATTTACATTAACTGAGGTCATACTAGAGTAGAGTGGGTACTATCCAATCTGACTGCTGTCATCGTGACTGGAGAAGAGGTACAGAGGGACACACATGGTAGAAAGTCCACGTAAAGTTGGAAGCCAAGGAATGCCCAGACAGGATTGGAAGAGTCATGGAAGGATCTCCCCTCAGAGTGGGCACAAACCAAGATCCTGCCAACACCCAAATTTGGACTTCTAGCCTCCGGAACTATTTGACAAGAAGTTTCTATTATTGAAAGCTACCTACTTTGAGAAAGTAATATAGGAGTCAATGTCCCAAACAGGCTGAAGAACCCTATTTTGAAATAAGTGAAGAAAGACTAACATTTACTGAGCTCATACAATGTAAAAGGTACTATGCTGAGCGACTGATCATATTTTACATGCGAGGTAACTACTATTATTATTATATTTCCATTTTATAAACTCCTTGCCACATTATATTTTAGAGTGACTGTTAAATTATTAGCTGTTGAAAGTCCATATCCTGTGTTTCAGTTTTACATCTGGGAATTTCTTGTATGGAAATAAGAAAGTTCAGGACAAATTTAACTACCAGGCTGCACATTAATCAAATTGTTTAACATAGCAAAAAAAGAGAGAGAGAGAGAGAAAATACATACACACATATGTCAAAACCCCATTGCTGTTAATTGACTCCTATGAAGCCTACAGGATAGAGAAGAACCGCCTACAGGGTTTCCAACATTGCGTAACTCTTTATGGAAACAGACTTCCATATCTTTTTCCTGACAAACAACTGGTGGGTTCAAATTACTGACCTTCTGGTTAGCAATCACCTATGATATATACATTTTGAAGCTATCTAAGTAGCTATCAATAAGGAAACTGTTAAAGAACAATATTGCCATCTGAAACACTATGTGCCCATTGGAATAAAAATATTTAATGACCAGGAAAGATTCTGAAGATAAAAGCTAAAAAGACATGCACAAGCTATGACATTTATTGTTTGATTTGGCACAATTAAGCTGATGACTCAAGTCTGTTTTCTCACATGTAGAACTGGGAAAACAAAAAACTTCACAGGGTTGTTGTAAAAGATTGTAAGTAAGAGTACCTAACACATGCTTGGTAAATGGTACCTTCCTTACTTTATTAAAAAACCACGTTTTTATAATTGCTGTATCTCCCAAGACTTCTGAACTAAGATCTCCTCTGAAGAAATAATATTTAAGCTGACATCTAAAGAGTGAATATTAATGCTGAGAGAAAAATTAGAATGGAGAGGGAAGAGCTTGTTCCAGACATGGGCATAAATCGTTTGAAACCCGCTCTGGAAGACCAAAAAGAGATACAGAATATGCTGAGATCTGATGGTAGTAAGAGCAAGGTTGGCATGACTGGAGACAGCAACCATAGACAGACATCTGACAGCAGAAGCCAGAGAACTTGATTACTGACTGGGTGTTGGGAGTAGAGAGGGGGTATCAAGGCTGATTCCCAGGTTATTGGCCTACGCATCAGGGTGGAATGAGGGGAAGTGAAAATGAGCCACGTTTGTTTTCATGAGTTTGATATGTCTATGAAAGTTACCCAGGTTGTTGTTGTTGTACTCAAAGCCACCCTAAATATAACAGAATGTGATTCTGTGCCATCCTCACAACTGTTATGTTTGACCCAACTGTTGCCGACTGTCAACCTAACTTATTGGGGGTCCTTTCCTTTTTTGCAGATCCTCTTCTTTACTAAGCATGATGTCCTTCTCCAGGGACTGGTCCTTGCTGATAACATGTCCAAAGTACATGACATTAAATCTCGACATCCTGGCTGCTAAGGAGCATCTGGCTGTACAATAGTAAATATGGATCTGGGGCTCTTAAGAAAGATCTGAGTTGGAAACACAAATTCAGAAAAAAAAAGCATGAGGTGTAAGGAAAAGTATACCTGAAGAATACCAACATCAAATGATAGGTTGAAAGGCCTGGATAAACAACTGAACAGGAAGAAAACCAGGGAAATGAGACATGGAAGCCAGGCATTACTGAATATCTGAAGCAAGTTCTTTATATCTGTCTCAAGACATATTCTTCTGCCAAACTTTAAAAAACACACAAACCATACCAAATAATCCCTTGCTCACAAAATGCATTCACTATGAGGTGGTACTAGGGGAGCGTGGCCATAGGCAGCCTTAGTGGTGGGGCGCAGGACTGTCAGGGCAGGTGTCCCTCCTGCTCTAAGCGAGACCAAGAGACCTAGAGGGGCGCCGTGCTCCAGTGGAAGAGAGCTGAACTACGAAACACGTAGCTGCCAGCCATCGTGGGCCCTGGGAGGGCAGGCTCCGTTCAGGGGCTGCGGAACTGTACTCGCTGCAGCTTCCGAAGTTCCAGGGGAAATGCGGAGGTTTGATGGTACTCACCATGTCCGCTGACGTCGGCCACCGGCTCTAAAGATTTGCCCGGAAATAGCTTTGTCGCCGGCCCGCGGGGGCGGGACCTAGGAGTGGGACCAGGGCGGGCCACTTAAAACTCCAGACAAGCTCAGCAGTTACGTCATGGAGTTTACCATTTCCTTGCTCATAGGAATGTCCTTGCTAATACATAGAAGGATAGGAAGCAAGAGAATGATTTTCGATATATATCAGTTGGTTTAGCTATTTTCTGTCCTACCGGTGTTCAAGAGATCTTTTGTGTGTACCTCGAATTAGATTTGAACTCTTCATGTGTCCCTCCCCTGCAGCGTGCTCGGAATGGATTCTTCCGAAACCAGGGTAACGATACTCAACAAAGCCTAGCTGTGCACAGAATTTACCGAGCCAAAAGCCTTTGGAGCGCGCGTCTCTAGAGAGACTCGCTCAAGCTAGAGTGACCCGCAGGCTTCCGCGCTCCTGCAGGCCGAGTTAATCTGGATTGGAGCTGGGACAATCTGATCTCCTTTGTCGGATCGGGTGCCCTGCTGAGAGGTGAATTTAGTCCTTGTGGCCACTAGATGTTGCTTCTTACTTGCGACTCTGAGCCTCTCTTTTCCTAATGGGAAATAATTTTCCTCATCACTTCAGCCATCTGTGTTCTGTACATCCTTGGCCTCTCACAGCATTTTATCAATACCTTTCGAAGAAGGCTAACCAGGTTCCACCTAACATGTTTTGTGAATTTATCTTCTTGTCTCTGTGAGTGGAGACCGACCAGACAACAGCTCTGCCTTTTAAAATCTGCTTTCCAAGTTTCTACCAGCGGACTTTACTCATATAAGAAGTTCGAAAATATCTGTTAAATAAATTAATGGCTGATTTTACAAATATCTGCTACAGAAGAGTTAAGTAATGGAAAGTTCAAGGCAAGAACTTCATTCCTTTCTGTGTGGCTTGCTTAACTATGTGTGTGTCAGAGGCTGGGGATACAGTGGTGAAAAATAACCAAACTCACACCACAGTTCCTTCATAGATCCCTCATAGAGCCAGCTGTTTCATGGGGGAAAACAAATGCTAAGCAAAGGGTACCTACAGGATGAATGTAAAATGATAACCAACTGATGAATGCTTGATAGAAGAACATTCCATTATGGTAAATAAAAAAATCATACTCTATGCCATCAAGTTGCTTCCCACAGCACTATATAAGAGAGTGGGTTCCAGTGCTGCACTTTTCAAGGAAGCAGTTAGCCACATCTTTCACTTGCAGACCATTTGGTGGGTTTGAACCACCCATCTTTCTAATAGCAGCTGAGCTCTTAATCACTATGCTACCAGGGTTCCTCATCATTATGATAAGGTGTTATGAGTATTTTGAACCTTCTAAAGGAGTCCTGGTGTGGTGCTGTGGGTTAATGCGCCAGACTGTAAAGCTGTTTGAACTAAAAGGTCGGTGGTTCAAGCTCACCAGCCGCTCCTCGGGAACCCTATACAGGGTTGCTATGGGTGGGGATCGACTCGACAGCACTTAACAACAACAACAACAACAAAAGAGAACAGTTCATTGGGGGGAAGGAATAGGTGGGCACTGTGAAGTTTCTGACCCAAGTGAAATAGTACAAGCAATGGACCTGTGGCTAGAGAGAGCTGCACCTGAGACTAAAAGAAGACAGGTGTGGTCAGGTTCCCAGGGAGGGGTTGGGCATAATGCTAGATGGAGCTGGCTAACTAACTTTAGAGGCCTCCATGAACACATGAAGTCATTGTTTTTGGGTAGTGGGAATGGCCATTTAAAAATACAACATAAATTGAAATACTTCGTTCCCGAAGAAGGAATCCTGAATGGTACAATGTTTAAGCTACTAACCCATAAATCAGTGATTCCAAACCGCTAGCTCTTCAGTGGAATAAAAGATTTGGCCATCTGCCCCCATAAAGATTATTGTTGTTGTTAAGTGCCGTTGAGTCGATCCCAACCCATAGCGACCCTGTACAGGGTTTCCAAGGAGCAGCTGGTGAGCTTGAACCACCGACCTTGCAATTCAAAAGATTTTGCAATCTGATACATTAGCTCACAGCGCCACACCAGGACTCCCCATAAAGATTATAGCCTAAAAAAATCCTATAGGGCAGTTCTTATCTGTCCTAAAACAATTTAGGAGTCTTGGTATGGCACTGTAGGATAAGCACTGAACTGTTAACTGCAAGGTTGGGGTTCAAACTTGCTAGCTGCTCCTCGGAAACCCTACACAGGGGCACATTGAGTCAGAATCCAGTTGCCAGCACTTAACAACTCTTTCCTATAAAGTAGCTATGAGTTGGAACTTACTTTGCACACAATAACAATATTCCAAAGAATAAGCCTTTCAGCTTGGGGACTCAGTCTTTACTGACAAACTTTTAGCTTTAAAGCTTAACTGGTTGGTTAGAGGAAGATGGGATGGGAGAAATGTTCTTTTTTATTCTTAATTTGTTGTTGTTAGGTGCCATCGAGTTGGTTCTGACTTACAGCAATCTTATGTACAACAGAACGAAGTACAGCCTAGTCCTGTGCCATCTTCACAATCTTTGTTCAGTTTGAGGCCATTGTTGCTGCCAGTATGCCAATCTGTCTCATTGGGGATCTTCCTCTTTTACACTATCCCTCCACGTTACATAATATAATGTCCTTCTCCAGGGACTAGTTTCTCCTGATATATATCAGAAGTATAAGAAACAAAGCCTCACCATCCTGGCTTCTACTTCAGATTAAACTGAATCTTCATTTGCTTCTTTAAAATATTAGCAGAGACTCATACTCAAACCACAGCTACAAATAGGAACCCATGCTCTCTCTAAAGTCAAGACAAAAGGTTTTACAAACCAATGAATTAAAAACATGGAGGCATAAATCAATGTCTGCCTTATTCTCTAATGGATGCAGAGTGTCTACCTAAAAACTTGGACCAATAATGAAGGACATATGTATTCTTGGTTCCTTGGTCTTAGAATTTAGAATAGATCTAATAAAAAAAATACCTAAATAATTACATTTTTAGAAGTTGTTGTTAAGTGCCGTCAAG